TAAAAGGATTTTTTATTTGGCTAATTGAAAGTCGCTTAGACGTCAAGAGTTTCCTGCCAAAAAGCAAACTGAATGTTGGCATATTTGGTGACTCTAGAGGGCTGGGGAGCTGGGGCGGCTCTACTCAGTGCGTAATTAAGTTAAGCTGAAAACGTGGCCGAAAGAAAAACACAATTTGCGGGCTTTATTGTGGGCAAGGTCACTTGGCTTGGACTGCATTTCTGCAATAGCGAATGTGGGCGCAACAGTGTGCGTGTGGTTGAGCATGTGTGTGTGCGTGTGGTTGAGCATGTGTGTGTGCGTGTGTATGTGTTGAGCGTGTCTGCACCACTGTGCGTAATTGCTCGATCTGCACGCCACGCACATGCCCCGCCCGCTCTGCCCGCCCGCCCCCTCGATCGATTGCTTCCATTTTAGATTTCTAATTAAACGAGTCGAACGATCAGCTATAAAGTGAGAAAGAGAAAGAGGGAGTGGTGCTCGTAGAGAGTGGGACAGGGAGAGATAGCTTGAAAAAGTGGGGGCTCTGAATGGCTGCAGTCTTGTTTTTATTTATATATACCCTGGACATGGTAGAAATGATAAACGAAAGTATCTGAACTTATGCCTAATATAATACAAATTTCTGGTACCGATCTTGCCAGAGTTATTTATATGAGAAGTAGGCCTTATTGCGGTTAGTCTTGGATTTGTTTTTACACTTTCACTTATTCATTATACTTTCAAATACTTTACTTATTTATAGAGGAGTAAGTTAAGGATATTTCGACTTGAGTATCTTGATTTCTCCTTCTTCTTTCATTTCCATTTCACTCACAGATGGCAGCTCTACCTCAGGGTATCTTTTAGTCTGTCGCCAGCTCATTGAGTTGTTCAATATTTGCAATTTGGCTTCGCTGGGCAACTGGCAACTGGCCACTGGACAACTGGCAATTGGCCAAGTGAATCGCGCTATTACATCAGACAAAACGTTCGCAGAACCTGAGAATTGGCCGAGATCTGGTTTTATTTACTTTTCGGCTGATGGGGGCGCAGCGGAAAACGAGTTGAGTTTGGGATTTGGAGCGGTGCTCTTGAGCGGCTGCTGCTGCGGCTGCTGCTGCTATTCCATTGAGAAAAACAAGCAGTCGCAGCAGCTGGAAAATGACGAAATGTGCAGCAGCAAACATGAAATCGGCGACTAGGAGCACGAAAATGAGATTCGAGATCGAGATTTGAGTTGGATATCGAGACTGAGTAGCTGCTTGAGTATGTGCATCGCAGCATGAGGACGGGGTGCTAGCTCGAGAGACGCCAATCAGAGCAATTGTCACTAGCCATTAGTTAGTTAGCCATCGCGGGGCCAGGGGGCAGGCAGGAGTGCTGCGGCGGCTGCCTGCCACAAATGGTTAAGCGCGACTTGTATATAAGACTGAAGAACTCGAGGAAACTGCATCTCACACTCGAGCTGAGTTCTTGCAGTGCAGACGCGCTTCACACCGAATAAAGCAAAAGAAGGAACTACCAATATCCTACAGCATGTTCGCTCAGGTAAGTATCAGGACTCGTGGCCTGCCAAGGACTACTCTCCGTATTCCCTCTTCTAGACTCTTTGTGTGCTTGGCCTGGTGCTGGCTGTCGCAGTGGCCGTACCCATTGACTCCTACGGCCCGTCGCTGATTTCGGCTCCAGCTATTTCGTATGCGGCTCCCAAGCTCCTTGCGGCTCCAGCTATTTCATATGCAGCGGCTCCAGCTATCTCCTACGCAGCGCCCAAGCTCCTGGCCGCACCCGCCTTGGCTGTCTCCAAGGTAGCAGTCGCCGAGCCCTACGATCCCAATCCTCAGTATAGCTTCTCGTACGGAGTCACGGATCAAAAGACTGGCGACTCCAAGCAGCAGGAGGAGACCCTGGTCAATGGTGTTGTCCACGGCAGCTACTCCCTGGCCGAGCCCGATGGCACCATTCGCAAGGTGACCTACACCGCTGACAAAGTTAACGGTTTCAACGCTGTCGTCGAGAAGAAGGGCGTGGCCGTGGTAGCCAAGCCCGCATTGGCCGTTGCCGCCGTGCCAACCATCGCCAAGCTGGCGGTGCCCGCTCTGCCCACCATCACGAAGATTGGATATGCTGCGCCAGCGTACGTGTCGTCCGGCTATGGTGCCCATTACTAGATAGGCATAGAGCCCGGAGATCCGTAGACGACCTCAGACCGTTGTTGAATAGTTCTAGTTTTGCATCCCAATCCATCCATCCATCCGAAACCCAAATGACGTGCGTGCTGTATGCTCAACTGAAGCCAACTCCGCATCCTGTGGCCAATCTCTTGATGCACACAAATGTAGCTTCCGGGGATACCCGTTTCTAGGGGATTTTGGGGAACGGCTATCGGCCATTTATCTAGTGATTTATTAACTGCATCTACTGAATAAAAGTTTCGGTACAAAAAAAACTATTTGCTTTCATTGACTAGAGAGAATATCTTCAGCAAGAGAGAATATCTTGGAGCTGTCTATCGTTTCTAGGAGAAGTGATTGAACTATCTCGCAAACCCAAGCTGATCTAACATTTTTCAAAATAATATTCGGTTGCTTTGAAGGCCAAGTGCTGACTCACAAAACTCTTTGATGTTGAGGTAGGTTCGACCTCAACCTCAAGACGCGCCGAAAATGGGAAGCTATTAATGCACATCACGTGCCGGCGTTAACGTTATGATTGCCATAAAGCGGGGGCTGCGCACTTGGGTGCTGGGTATTGTGCAAATGGTCTGGGGAAATGACATGAAATGGCACGTCCATTGAGGAAATATGACGGACTACGCTGCGGATTACAGCTTACGTCAGAGTTGGCCATTGGCTGGTCACATTTGGCAGCGGTTGCCACAGCGCACCTGACCACCAAGGCGGGTGGCAAAGTGTTTAAAACCAAGCACACCGCACCACCAGAAGACAGTACAGAAAGTGCAATCAAACCCCACTCACTACCCACAGTTCAATCAGACAGCCCCAGCAACGACATGGCTCTACTCAAGGTAAGTCTGGCACAGGACCTAACGGGAGTGAAGGAAATCTAAGTGAATGTCCCTTGCAGACTCTCATCATCAGCTGCGCTCTGTTCGCTGTCATCGAGTGCGCCCTGGTTCCGGCGGTGCCCGTCAACACAGACTTCGACCCTCATCCACAGTACGCGTACGCCTACAACGTGCAGGATGCCATCACGGGAGACAGCAAGAGCCAACAGGAGGTGCGCGAGGGCGACGTGGTGAAGGGCTCCTACTCGGTAGTCGATGCCGATGGCTCGCTGCGCACCGTTTTCTACACCGCCGATCCCATCAACGGCTTCAATGCGGTGGTGCAGCGCGGCCCAGTGCCAGTGCCAGTGGTGGCAGCAGCCCCACGCCCCGTCGTGCCCGCTGCCCCGTTCCTGGGCTGAGAGGCAACAGCTGCCGATCTTAGCTTGTAGATAAGTTATTGTCTGTTACTGTTCTGTAGATCTAACCGCACACTCGTAAATCATCCAATAAATCCAGTTAGCCAAAGAGAACAAACAACGTGGCTAATTGCTGGGACACCTGGCTGCGGATACTACCAGCTATCGGTCGAACGCTGACAAATGGCTCCAGTTCGAGCCAATTTGCATGAGATATGTAAGAGATTGCATTGCTATTCAACTGGGGTCCTGAGATACACAGAAATCGAGCCGCTGACTCATTCACCCTTCTCAATTACATTTAACTCTGATGTGCTTCAGCTTTTGCTATATCCATCTGTAGCCAACCCTCTCTGGATCTGCACTTTCTAATTTTCATAGTAGCACCATCCGGTGGCGTAACACCACCCACCCACATCGCCTGTTGCGCACATGATAAAGTAGACAAACTGGACTATAACTCTAATGGACCCCACCCGATTCCGTAACACCCTCGCATCGCACCCACTGCAAAGAACACTCTCCCTCCCCGCCCATGCAAACGGCCAACATTCACTCGAATCAACACGCACTCGAATTATTCAATAGCTTAATTGAAAGTACTCGACGCGTTACAATTTTTTGATTACGCAAAAAACTGCGCATGTCTTCGCTGCAGTCGCCATCGCAGTTGACGGCGACGCTAACGCAGACGTTGACGTCGACTGCGACGCCTAACAAGGCGCAACGTGCGTTCAAAATTAGTGATAATGGGCAAAATTGTCCCAATGGCAGTAAAATGTACGCAAAAACCAAGTAAGAGTGAGCTTAGAGTGTGTGCGAGTGTGCGACTAGTGAATACCCTGTAAAAAAGGGAAAAATATAGGCAAAGGCCTTGAAGACGAAAGCTAGAAATGGGAGTTGAATTGAAATATGTTCAATTGTCTATTTAGCATTAGGGAACTATATGGTTCATGTATCACTAGTTCAATTGAATAGTTCATGAATATGTTAGTCATTCGAGTAGAACTCTATAGTTCATAAATAGCTGAGCAATTGAACAGATCAGGATGGGTAATTGAGAATCATAGTATAGCTCAGCAAGGATAGACTTCTCCAGATCAGAAAACTATATATCTAATGAACGCATGCAGCTGTTACATATGGCATATCACATGTAATATAGCTCCTGCCGCCCACTTGCTTCAACTACAGGGTATTTAAAAAATTGTTGCAGTGGCAATTGCCTGCTGCAATTTGGGGAGTCGAGGCTTACGGACTTGGACTCGGATTCGCTGTCGGAGTCGGAGTCGGCCAGTCTGCGGGGTGAACCGTTTGCTGCCTCTGCCTCTGCCGTCGCTGCTGCTGCTGTCGCTGCTGCTGCTGCAGTTGCTGTTGGGCGCGGCGTGTCGCTGCTTTGTGCCAGTTTCGAAGGCTGATCTCGCATAGAGCGACGGCGACGCACACACCTTTCAACAATCGACTGGGTGCGTGGAACGAACTGTGTGTGAGTGCCACACACACACACACACGCATACACTTGCACACCTGATGCCGCCTGGCCACCCGGACCAAGAGAGAAAAAAAAACGCTTTCGAATTGAACTTTTTTGTCACGATCGAATCCCCGCCTGCTGCTGCTGCTGCTGCCTCTGCCTCTGCTGCTGTTCCAAGCTCATGTAGCCGTTCATTTTGGCGGTGTCCACCACTCGTCGCTAGGAGCCGACCCAGCCAGACAACATGCGTGCCATTCTCGTAGGCCTAAGCTGTTTTTTGTCTGGCCAGAGCACACCTGCACCGCCCCGCCCCGCCCTGCCTCGTTCAACAGTCAGCCAGACAGACACGACACCCAGACAGACAATTGGCTAACGCCCTCCCCTCT